ATTTTGTTTCTGTACGTGACTTCTCATTCGGTCTGAAACATAACATAACTTATTTAGGGCTACGAAGAATTTAAATGGAGTACATGGAGTGAATGGTTTGTTGTTATGGGGTGCTTAGAAATCACATTGATTACTGGCTGTGAACTACGAAGCTACGAGAAGCAACGTGTAAATGAACAGTAAATGTGTTCAAGGCAAGAGGGAGTTCAATTCTCCTTTCAAACTTATTGTGCATGTGTACATGTTGGATGTTACTTTGTTATTCCTCAAGAAATATTTTTTTCTTCTCAATTGAGAAATCTCAGTGATATTGCTTCTTAATGTAATCTGCCTTGTAATAAATTACACCACTAAAACTAAACACTTAAATGCCAAATTCAACTTTCTTCATTCCTGAAATTCTAGTCATTTTTCTCAGTGACGCTAAAGCTTTCTAATCAATTTATAGGCTATAATTGCTCATAGCTTATGAAAATGTTGTGGAAACAGTTACAAACTATGCACTGAGCGATATCACTTTGTAAGGTTGTACAAATTCTGTTTATCCAAAGTAGAATTTGACCAAGCTACCTTGAATAATGCAGTTCAAATTATTAGATGTGAAACTTTACAGGATTCAACAGGCCTGTGCTTTGCTTCCAAGAAATAAGTGTAAGCCAGTTATCGCAGTACAGAGGAGATTGATATGGAGGTTCCAGCTATGATGCATTTTAGTAGTGTCATATGTAAACACAACTTTCTGTACGGACGCCTGGCAGTTTGCTACATACTGGATAAACTGCAGAACTGATGCATTTTGGTTGAATTAATATTTGGAATACGGATAATTATTTTACAGCTGTCAAATCTAGATGAAATGGTAAATAATCAACCATCTTATTCATAGGTAATCTGCATATTTTACATTGCAGTTGTCTTTATCATACTGTGTGAAAACATATTCTTAACTAGAATTCACTGGAAGCCGTGCATCAACGATAAATAGGTGGAAATAAATGGCATTTAGGTGGGATCACGGAATCTGTATATATTGTTATCTGAGGCTAAGCTAACTATCAATACCCAACCCACAAATATTCAGATGTACCCCTAAGAATAGAAAGATTAATAATGTATGTATTTAAAGTATGAAGAAGTTACATATACGGAAAACGTGGACATTGTGGCTGTATGCAACTCCGAATAATACGTAACAGTGGATATGATTATTGGCACTTAATTGTGTTGGATGTGTCATTCTTCCAACAATACTGTTCCACTCTGTATCACAAAACTAATAAACAAGCTAGTATGGAATGAAGCAGTTGTACTGGGAAAGTTGAACACTTGGAAAGTGAGCAATGAAAGTGCGATTATTACAAAATACCAGAAAATTTAAACGATTGGTAAAATATTCCATCATGATTTTCCTACTTTGAAAAAATTAACCAAGGCGTTTTGGCGTTGCCTTAACTTGATAATACTTCTTATTTTGTAGTATTTTCGAAAACATTTCACCTTCTCTGTTCTTTAGCGAATTAACTGGCCGAAAGCTATATCGCTCTGCCTCAATGTTTCCTATGACCTTCACTTTTAAAGAAGCAATTTTACAAAGTGTCCGTAATTCAACTATCTTATCAGAATGTTATATCAGCTGTATTTATTAGAAGTACTACCTGATTATATGATTTAGTTTGCGACGTTTTGTGTTGGGTTATTTCACTGAAAGCTTATGGACTGAAAATAATCCACTGCATTCACGAATAATGTAGGCAATACGGACATGATAATTATTCGGACATTTAACCGAGACAGTTGGGTACTTTCTGTGTTTCACATCACAATAACACAAATGAAATTAAACTAAGATAATAACAAAAAAGGAGGTTCTAATGCTGCATTTTGTTTTTCGAAATCACAAAACATGAAATAAAGTATTATGAGAGAAGTGTATATAATGAAATCATTCACATCTTCATACTGTCTGTTGGGCGTAACATAACTTCTGGTGCATATCAGAAGCCCACAAACAAAATGAAGTTTCAATAAAGATTTGGAAGACCAACTGAGCGTCATTCACAAAACTATAAGGTCAAGACATTCGGGGATTCAGTCTTTAGACTGTGAAGTATATAACGCAACTAGTGAAAATTAGTTATACTCAAACAATCAAGATAACGAAATAATGTTGAATGGATGTTTACAAGCTAAGCATGTGAAATTAGAATGCTATTTATACATTCAGAGCTAAATGAATCAACTAACAAAATTCACTATATCACGCAAACCACGTGTATATTAGAGTCTGCATTTGTAAATATGTAATTAATTTCAAGTGTGCGTCGACAGGGGATCAACCCTTGGACCATGAGCATTATCGACGAGATTCCTAACAGCTGTGCCACCGACGCACAGTAAAGGCAGATATCACAATAACGTCACTTGCGAAAAGTAATCTTAGCTCTGTCATACAGCAAATTTATTTGATAAGAACATACAGTGAGTGATGCAGTATTATTTGCTGATGATCTCTTTTGTGTACAACTAATCCTAGTGGGTTTATTGATATGAGAATAAAACTTGTGCATTGTGGTATAGTATAATTCCATTATGGACAAAATTTATTTTGTAAGAGCCTCACAGTAATATTTATTAATGATGTTTCAAGCACAATTTTTTGCTCATAATCATATTAAGATGATATATGACTATAATATGATTATGAGCAATAAATTGTGCTTGAAACGTCATCAGTATATATTAGTGTATAACACTTTGAGACTTCACCAAAATAAATTCGACCCATAATGGAACTAGTGAGTTTATTCTAACACATAGTCAAGTGCAAATATCAGAATGAGAACATAAGCCTTCCCGGTCACCTGTCAGATGGACAACGTGCCCTTGTAAATGTGGATGGCATTCGCACCTAGAAGCATTCAGTTTTAACTTCTTGGATGGTAGCTTCACACTTTTGACCTCTCGACCAGGTACATAAAACAAATGTCCAAAACTGTCACTCCTCTCATACCAAACAGGATTACCATAACAACGGTCAGATTGTACTTCACTGACTAATGTACTCACTAGTAGCATAAAAATATCATGTCTGCCAACGGACTAAACACAGCCTTCATATGATTACGATCAATTAAATTGTTTTTAAACATCACTAATAAATAATACTGCATCAGTGCGTGTTTTTACCAAGTAAATTTACTCTGTGATGGAATTATTCTCTACCCCATGGTATCCAAGCTCTGTCTTCATCCAAGTCATCTGGATTTCCAAAATAAATTTGGTCAATACATCTTGTTACCGAAGACTGATTAAGAAAGTTGTGACGTGCACTGTATGAATAATCACTTCGATTACATAGTCGAAGACACAAATGATGAGGATCTGAGTGGTAGTTAACTTGACACTCATACACGTCCGATTAAGGCAATTGGAATTCATCTAATCGACTCCGAAGTGTGCTAATTTGCTAAATTATTAGATAACTTAGTGAAATAAAATATGAAGCTCTTTTTAGACTGATGGCAGAACTTCCTTCGAAACCCGATACAAGGTTCCATTGGAGAACACAAAAGGAGTGGAATGGAGACAGAAAACGAATCACTACGGAAACCATTCGCTCAAATTTTTCATTAGACATCAACTGAATTTCGTTCAAAACTATCTTTATTCGATAGTGATTGCTAGAATGACTCTCTGAAATCGCCTTATTTGCGTAACCTGGTCAATAAACAGTACCACTGGACTTTTAGAAGAAAAGAACTTCCGCAATGTGTTAGGGTATAATTCCATTGTGCGTAAAATTCATTTTGATAGAGTCTCACAGTGTTGTACAGTAATATTTACTGGTCAGTAAATATAAATGTATAACACCGCTACATTTTTAATTTAGTACAAAGGGGAAGAACTACGGTCCGTACGTTGAGTGTAGAATATTCAGCATAAACTTTAGGTGATTTCGTTTTTATTCGAAACTGTAGCGTTTGAGAATCAGTAAGAACAAACCTTAGCTTTCCTTCCAGCCACAGTAGACTTCACATTTTTAATTTAGTACACAGGGGAAGAACTACGGTCCGTACGTTGATTGTGGAATAATCTGCATAAACGTTCATGATTTCGTTTTTTATTCGACACTGAAGCAATAATCTGCTTCACAAAATAGTATTATCACACCAGGGCTAGTAGTATACCTTCATTATTTGATTACCTTTAACTAGTATGATAACTCTCTCTGTTCATATCGCCTTAATTTTCTAATTTTACTTTCACTATCGTCACTTCTTATCATTTCTCAAATTCGCATTCAGCTTATCCCATTCAACTGTTTCTTTTTCTTTGTAGTGTTCGTGCTGCCTCTCACACCACTGAGTAAAATGCACTTTCTAAAACCCATTCTTTCGTTGAATATGAACACATAAACACTTCACTCAGCCAGCTTAACTCATTCATCTCACCTTCACACTGACTACATATTTTATATATCTTTAAACTATAATCAAAATTAACGGACTGTCATTACATCTTGTGCGTTAAACACACTACAGCTTCCCAAATAATTTTAATTCACTTTCAATGATTACTGAATGTTATCAGCAAGGGATTTATGACAGCAGAGCTTGATAAAATTACAGATAACAGTTATTTGCTCTGATGACTATTTTCCTAAATAGTGTATGGAAATATTGAAGTCTTTGGAAATCTACCATTATGTAAGCTGATTGGGTGATCGCAGTATGAAGAATTTTTTAATCACTTTGACTGTTCATTTCATAAAAAATAAAAATATATTGCAAACGTGAAATCTATTTTCTTTACACCGTTATCTTTCCATATAATATGTAAGTTGTGAATGTAAAGAAAGTGAAACAAAAATAATAATAATGTTTCTATTCATATTTGTAAGAAAACAAAATCCTTGAGAATCATAGGACTTGGGCAGAACAAAGGATATGAATTATCCTAAAATATGTCTATATCCTCATGTGCGTTGAAAGAAATGTTTACAGTTAATTAAACTCTCCACGACCTTGTAGACCTTCTCCATCCATATGCAATCTCTCTTTCGTAATTACGTAGTTCTAAACTGGTGATGAATGAGGTTTCTATGATTCCCAGTACTACAAACCATTCGCCCACTGCGCTCCATTTAAATTCCTCATATCCCTTCAGCACGAATACAAAAGAAAACATGCTTGAGAAGCAAATAAAACGAAAACACGAAGTTATATATATATATATATATATATATATATATATATATATATATATATATATATATATAACGCACTTCGTCGCACTGTAGCAGTTAACAAATTACTTCATGGTTTCAAAATGGATGAGGTTGAGAAAAATAGTTGACGGGATTTCCAGACCGTGTCTGATACTCGCGAGTAGTATTGCTATTCAGAATAATATGATTTGTTTTCACTGAATCCAGTTTGTATCTGACAGAAACTTCCATCTAGTTCGTCTTTTTAATCTGTGCGATTAGTCGGCCTAATAGTTAGTTTGGGTGAACAATAACCACGTCACTCTTTGCATTGACATAGGTTGCCTTTCTCTGACAGTTTGACAGAGTTACGTTTCTCTTAATCATCAGGTACCTATCGTTAATCCCACATCTTCTGCAGTTGTAGAGTCAGTAGGCGGTAAGCTATCGATTTCCAGTTGATTGGCTGTCTCTAGATCATTCGCAATCTCATGCTCTCAGAACACTTAGTCAAATTGTGCGTATTACTTGACTTACCGGTTCATGTGGTTTTACAAGGAAGCCGTCTTCCGCTTCCATAATTAAGAGTCCAATCTGATTGAAATATACGACTGTAATATGGAAAAGTTAGACAATGTTGAAATTCAGTTAGTCAAGGACACAATAAAATACTACATCAAAGAAACATTTACTTATTTGAAATACTCACAAAGTGAAATGATAAAATAAGAATCCTACACGTGAATAATTGGGATTTGACCTGCACTATTACAAATGGTATCATCAAAGCAATGGTGTGAAATTGAATTTACAACTCAAGATTTCCGGCTACTTGTTTTCGTGCTCAACTCTACATTAAGAGAGTTGCCAGAGGTCAACTTAACACCGAATCACTAACATTAATCATTTCAGAACTAATATGCTCCTCAGAAAATAACACTGACTCTTAACAGTTCAATCTGCGGACTAGCACCAAAACACTTTGGAATTATCACTGAACATTTGAGGAGCAATAGATTTTGTAAAGTAGCGGGATCACCAAAAGTGTACTAATTATGATTCTCAGTTAGCAGAATTGCAATATCCTCCTGAAATGAGAATGTCCATGAGTTCCTGGTTAATATGCATAGCTTGTCTGCATTACTACAATTTTGCTCTGCAGAAAACATCATCTGACGACTGGTGAAATTCATATATATAAATATTAAAATAAAAATACTCTCTTCGAGTGTGACTCACAAAAAAATGCACCAAGAATCATCTGAATCCAAACAATTAATCTAGCCAAGAAAAACCATTTCCATGGACGGAAAGAATATAAAATAAGCAGAGCACCCAGTGGAATCGAAATCAGATGAGAACAGAAATTCATTAAAGCTAAGTGATAATGTGTACGATTGTCAGTTTTTGTCTGTAAAACAAATGGTGTTATAGTGTAATTGTATCATTGAAAAACTAAGCTACAATATTTTGCGTATCATACACTGCATGACAATGGAAAAAATGTTAATGCATATATATTTGTATTACAGGAAGCCTAAATGATTCTGAAATCATTTTGATAGGAGTGATCACCCTAGAGAGAACCCTAAACTTCACAAATATTATTGATGCATGTGGTGCATTCCAAAAATTATGTGAAAGTTACAGAACGATGGGATCATTGTCAATCGAGTAAATTTGCGTTACATGAAAACTATTTTCATTTAAGTGTCACCAGCTCTCTAGTGGTGTCAAGTGAATCATACATAGCCTCATAAGAAAAAACGTAAACAACAAAGAAAATTTTCTTTTCGATGAAACATTTTTATGAGCTGTACAACCTTAAATATATTAAACCAATTAATCCTCAGACTAATCAGATACTACTAAACTGTGTCCTTGAAAAATGTATTACACAATGTAACGTTCTGGTTTTGTAGAGATTTGTTGGATTGGATAGAGGAATTCATCATGAGCTGACATCAGTTAGAGAACCACAACCGTACTCGGACCCGATGATTGCGTACTGACGAGGAGTCCCAAACTACAAGGAAACAGCCGTCCAGTAGTTCTCTAACTGATGTCAGCTCATGATGAACTCCATCATGAAATGTAAGCTGTGGGAAGGAATGACTAATTGTAAGTAAGAATAGAGGCAGGAGTTGGCATGACGTAACAAGTGTGAGACAATGAATAATCATTAGGCTCGTGTAGAATGGACAGGATCCAGTGGAAAGGTCTCTTTTCTAAGCTACAATTAGCCATCCCTTCTTACATCTTACATTATGTGATACATTTTTCGAGGACACCGTTTACCAGTATCTGATTGGCCTAAAGATTTCTATGTTCAATATAATTACGATTATACAGCCCATGAAAATGAATCGTAGAAAAGAAAATATTCTTGGCTGTTCAGGCTTTTTTCTTACGATTCAACATGGGAGTATTTCGTTCATTAAAACATATATTTGAAAAAACATCTAAAAGAAATTACAGTTGACCATCAATATATAGCATTCAGAACAAAATGAGCACTGTGGCTTTCATTTTTGGCGCTGTGAAAGCTGCTTAACTGAATGTTCAAGCTTCTCCTGTTGTTGGAATCTTCACCCTATGGGAGAATGATTCTCAGGAAATATCAGTTGTATCCATATGTGGTAACAAATGAACTGAAAGTAGGAGTGCATAAGTTAGTGTAACGAATGCACACATATTTTTAGCAATAGGAAATTTCAAAGTGCAACAGTAATAATTCATCTGCTTATGATAAAACCCCTCTGAGGCTACTCTGCAGTTTCACACTTGAAGTTCAAAGATCCGGACACAACTTCCAAACAAGTTGACTTCTGGAAATTCGGTGATACATAATTAGAGGGAACCACAATTCAGAATTCATCAATATTTTATTAAATTTGATTCGGAGTGGAACATAGTGACTAAGCAACATATCTCTCATCACCCCTTCTCACATCCTCTCACATAATACACTCCGATGACAAACCAGTCCTGTACTATTGGAATTCCACTCTTGTGCCCAGGTGATGGTCGATTCAAGAGTCCTTTGAAGTGACCAAGTCTTTCTTTTATCTAATCCGCCTCCTTAGTAATCAGGTCTTCTTGAACATCTACTGCTTTCGTTATCTGAGTTGATTTCTTCCCGGATAGCAATCGACCTGGTTAACTGATAAAACATTCTGAGGTCTCCTACACCAGCAGATTATTCTCAGTCAGTCATTGGTGTGCCATACAATTGACTTTTGTATATCAAAGCACTTTTCTTCACTTTGTGGTGACAGCAGTCTGCTAGCCAATTGGTAGACATTAATTTTCGTCAATGTTTATGTTGCTGATATTGGCCGTGAGAAAATATGAACAAGACTGATTCAACAACCAATCACAGCAGACTTAACGTGGGCAAAGACGATTCGCAGATATACGGCTTAAATTTCTGAGAAATCAGTGACAAGCAGTACCGAATAAATTTCGAGCAAGAAACAACCAATCAGAAGACTGTGTTTCTTTGCTTGAATAAGCTATTATAATGTTCATGAAATATATACAATATATATATATATATATATATGTATAAATACGTGCTGATTTCCCTAATAAACGATGTGTTGCCTGGCCTTTGTCTTCTGTTGTTACAACTTCTTTATTCAGTGCAGTGTACGCCGAAATCAGCTTCTCGTTATGCTGTCCATTTTTGAGTTGAGTCATCTTCTCTTTCACTAACACTCATTCCCCTCGTTCGCTTCCAAGTACTCATCGCGAGCCACTCATTACCTTGCCTCTTCTTCTTTCTTCCTAGAACAGTTGTATATGTTTCCCTGAACATCACATTCAGAAAGTTCCAGTCTTCTTCTATACACACTTCCTCGGTGATGTCACATAATGTCCCCGACTCCCCTCTGATGGCTGCGATGACAGTATCATTTGTAGGTTTGTCCTTCAGTTTCTCAGTATTGAACTTGAGTTGCTGTCCGTGTTGAGTCTTTGTTAGCGCTTCTAGTCTGACTCTGAAGGTTCCCTGACATGGATGATGTTGTGAGCCTACATCTGCACTCCATTTGGACTTTGTGTTTGGCATGCTGACTCTTCACTTTCTTCAGATTGATATGAATGATATGATGTGTCCATCAGGCGAAATCCATGTCATTCACCTTGTGTATATCCTTGCAATAAAACACGCTACCTGAAATCGCCAAAGCAATGAGAGCGCAGAAGTCTGTGAAGAGTTCTCCATTTTCAATCATTTCGCCTATAGACAACCTATCGACCATTGATGAGTTTTCTTTCAGTATGTATGATCTGCTCCATGTTCGTCCTCCATTCGAATCGCCCGTCAGGATTTTGATGTCACCATTCGGGGTTTTGTCCACTACTGTTTGCATTTGTCTTTAGAAATCTTCCTTCTGAGATGTTTTTAGCACTGTGCGTAGTATTGGATAATTGTCACCCCATATGTTTCCTTCCCAGTTCCATCTTGTTGTCATGATCCCGCGTGAGGTGACTGGTTCCCGCCTCATAATAGCATTCGTTGATGTTATTTCTGCTGATGGTATTGGTGATGGTGATATTATTATAGCCTCTCATTGCGTCAGTGCGCTCGTGGTTGTCGTGTGGGTTACCAGACCGTGATAGATTTCTCACTCTCAAGTTGACAATGTGGATAGTCCACATCTATTCAGTTCCATGTCCCCATTCTTATTCTTGCTTTCATCGAAAGAAAACACATCAAGTACTCATCCAAATGCTTTCGTTTTGTTTGTTTCCATGATCATGGACACATGAGCACACTTGTTCACATCACTTACAAATTACTGATCCCATCAGAACACATCTTTTATCCACATGTGAACATTATCAAAATATTAAACTTCGGCACAGTGGTAGTAAGTAATTCCCTATTAGTTTCTCTATTAGATGTCTCACACAGCTAAACAGTTAATAATACTGTTTCACTGTGTGATACATCTAGTAAACAAACCAATATGGAGTTATCAAAATGTAATGTTGTGGAATAAAGTGATTATTATTATTTTACTATTTTTCATTGTGCATATAGTGAGCTCCACTTACATCAATAATAGCCAATCCTATGATTGATATGCTTGATATTGCAAAAGCTATTAGAATGATGATGCATAGGAGTCCACTGACCATTGACCAAGCATTTCTCTCCACAAGTCTTCTTCTCATCATTAAGTACCAAAACCATTGACTTATAATATCTAAAGTGAAAATGTATTCTATTTGTATGAGCAATTAATTACCATCATTTAAACATTAAGAACCTATGAAAGATAAATTATCATTTTTCGGTGATTATTCGGTTAGACGGATGTCTCCGAAGGTTTAACTCAATATGTGGATGTTGTGGAGACAGACACAATGAATAGTTAGAAAGTAATGGTAGTCACACTGAAGGTTTAAGATGTTAGTTAGTAAATATAAGTATACCGGATGAAATGTGTGGAATATGTCATGGAATGGTAATTATCTGATCTCAATTTCTCGGAGAACAAGAGTGAATATCGATAAAGACCGCCAACCTAGAGCAGTGCTCCTTGAACTGCAAAGGCTTTTCGAATAATACGCTACGTTTGTTTATTTTTTTTATTACAGCTTGATTCAACACCGTATTTTTGGTACATGTATGGAATTTTCGGCATGTGATATCGGTAGCTCAAATTTTGCATGCCGACCATAGATGTTAGGTGTGCGTCGGCGGGCGACCGAACCTTGGACCATGTGCATGGTCGGCGAGAGTCCTAACCACTGTACCACCGACACACATAAACTCTTATTTCTCTGGAGTTTCTTGACAGGAAGTTGTGGAATTGATTGTAACTATTTAACTTTCGAACACTGAATCTGTGGCTATAATCTTGTTGACTGATAATACCTATAACTATGTGCGTCGGTGGCACAGTGGTTAGGACTCTCGCCGACCATGCACATGGTCCGAGGTTTGATCCCCTGCCGACGCACACCTGATATCTATGGTTGGCCTGCAAAATATGGGCTACCGATATCCATGCTGAAAATTCCATGCTTGTATCAAAAATACAGTGTGGAATCAAGCTGAAATCCAAAAAAACTAACTGTTTGGCATTTTGTGACTGTTTAACACTAACTAATATCCATCATTGTATATATTGTTGTACTTACCTACCCAGTGAGAACCAAGTCAATGAGTCTATGGTTTTTATATCATTTTTTTCAATTGCTTTTTGACAGTGATACTACTGTTAGAGTTTATTTTTATTGGTTTTGTCACTGCCCTTCCTGTTGAATTTTTTTATTTTTATTTTGCTGGGTGTGTTCCGATTGCTCTATTCCTTGTTTTCCTAATGCTAAGGGGAGCAACACAAAATGTCGCTCCCCTGTAGCCTATAAATTCATGTAACGAACCTCTTCTCAGGTGTGAGGCTAGCAACGATAGATTCGATGATTTCACCCGGTCACCCAGATGACAACCACGAACACACTGAGGGAGTGGCTATCGTGACGTTACTGACAGCAACGAAGACCCCGATGCAATGGGAGGCGATTTTGCCCAGGAGAATGACCGCCAGGTTCGACTCCAGAGGAAGGAATGTGACAGCTATACAACTAAGATCTCGAACAGAAAGAAGAGTTTTACAGACAACTACAGGCAACAGTGGACAATACTCCAGTCCGTGACATTAAAATACTAATGGGAGACATGAACGCCAAGCTGGGGCCACACAACACAGGGAGAGAATTCATCATGGGTGGAGAAGCTCTCGGAGGAATGAATGAAAATGGAGGATTCCTCGCTGACTTCTTCGCCTTCAATGAACTAGTGATTGGTGGTAGTTTATACAGACACAAGGATATCCACAAGGCTACATGAGTGTCATCAGATTGGCAAACCAAAAACCAAATTGACTTCATGTCAATGTTGCTCAAGGAAGTGGAGACGCAGCTTACTGGGCATAAAAGTAGGAAGAGGAGCAGATGTTGTCTCAGAACACTATCTCCTGCAAGGAACAAAATCGAGTTAAAAGCTTTCAAAGAAACAGGAGCCACAGATAGACCACAAGCAATGTTCAACTCTCAAAACCTGAAGGATCAGGATACAAAGGATATCTTCACTGTAATCATAAGGAAAAATACGGACGCACAAATCAACAATAGCGAAGAGACCAGAGTCAAAAGGATTTTAGACAGAATGATAGCAAAAGTAAAACTGAGCTGAACACTTCAAAAGACTTCTAAATCGACCACCCTCTACAAAGCATTCAGTAATACGAACGGCGGAAGGGCAATCAGCAGTGGGCATAAATCCTCCGAGAAGAACAGAAATTCTGGAGGCAATCAAGGTGCTAAAAACTGGAAAAGCAGCAGGACCAGATCAAATCTCAGCAGAAGCATTAAAAATTGATGCAGAGAAATCAGTGGACTTGACACCACTACCGAAGAAGGTGTGGAAAGAGGGCGAGGTACCTGCGGATTGAAAGAAAGGCTACCTATTAAAACTGACAAAGAAAGAAGACTTACGTCACTACAAGATCAGGCATGGCGTTATGATCAAGTCCATCCCAAGCAAAATACTAAGCCGCATAATACTGGAGAGAATCGAACACATGCGGCATGAAAAGCCTTGACCTTTACAGGCTGGATTCAGGGGAAACAATTCATGCATCGATCAAATTGACGCATAGGGATCAGAAATAAACATTGCTTGCAACAGCTGTCAACTATACACCTCAGTCAACTTCATCGACTTTGACATGACATTGAACATCGTCGAACGAGAGGTATTTCGGCAACTATCCATCTATCTATCTATTTTTTTGTACCAAGTCAATCCACCTCATCCCAATCTATCGTATTCGACTCAAAAAAGTCTACTTAAACCATTTCACTAATTATTTTGAGTACCGGTAATAGACAACGCAGATACAGTTTATAAATAAAGTGCGTATACTATATGAAAGTTTTGTATGCTTACTTAGTACTGCAAATACTCCCGATGAATATATAAAGAAATATTTTTCCGGTGGATTCACACCAAGAGAGCTGAATGAAAATAAATGGACCTTTCAGTTTAAAGAAATGAAGTATATAGTGAAAACATGTTATTACTTGTGAAACATTTCTCATTCTGAGGTACTCTGAACCCGATGTATGTTATTATGCATATGCATATATGCATGTTGCATACAAGGAGAAAACTCAATTGGCTATTTGTAACTTCCATAAAGACGTTTTTAAACAACTCAACAGAAATGCTCAAATTCAAAGTGACCAAATCAAATGTGAGTGCAGAGAAACAAGATGAATACTTCAGATTGTGAGCCAGTAGTCCATTCATCATCACTGACACACAATGATGAGAGTCGAAATTTCAGAGGCAATGGCATTCTTCTAAAGCTAACCAGTATGGTTTATTGGTGGATATAAGACGCAAAGACATTTCGGATCACTTCCATCTGACCGGTCCTAAAGGATAATATCTCATTTCCTTTTGTACAATCAGTGTATCACATACACAAGAAAATACCTATTCTGTTCCCGCCTTAGAATGAAATACATTTGTTTAGTTAGAGAAGAGGTGTTTAGAATTGGTGGTATTCATTTGTTATCTGACAAGCAGCAAAACTATCGTTTTAGCAATATGAATCTAGTAGCAGTGTCAAGTAGTTATCCTGAAGCATTATACATTGTTTATAATAATCCCAGCGTGTTTAATACGAAATCACGTTTTGATTTTTTCAGAGATTTTTCTAGGTAACTTATAATGATTCAGTCTGACTCGTCACTCCACATATTCCAGGAAATTTGTAATACTTAAGGTCCGAAAACCTATAACGTAGATATTTTGAAGGTTGACTGTTTGAATTCTAAAGCAATTTCATTTCAAAATCCGTGAACCACCTTAGTTTCATTTTTGAATGAATGATGGATAGTTTTCTAGTAGGAATGCCAATTTAGAAATCCAAGCAAAATCTATGATCAACCTAAGTAAATTCACTGATCATCACTATTTCTCTATTCCCTCACGTTCCCAGTAAAACAAATAACTTCAGGCTAGAGGCTTGAAGTTTCTGTTGCAGTGGTGTTCTACCACTGAATCACCGACGCCAGCAGAGGCATTAAAAGTTGACTCAGAGAAATCAGCGGATTTGATGACAGCACTTCCGAAGAAGGTATGGAAATAGTGTAAAGTGCCTGTGGATTGAGAGAAAGGCTACCTATTCAAACTGCCACAGGGGACTTAGTTCACTGCAAGACCTGTCGCAGCATTATGCTCACGTCCATCGCAAGTAAAATACTAAGTCACATAATCCTGGAGAGAATCAAACACGCAATGTATGAAAAGCCTTGACCTTAACCGGCTGGATTCAGGAGAAACAATTCACGCATCGATCAAATCGCAGCAGTAAGTATCAACATTCATGAGAACTTGGAATAGCAGTCAGCCCCCTATTTCGACTTTATTGACCTTAGAAAAGCCTTCAACAACATCAGTCGAGAGGTGATATGGCAACTATATACCTTATCTATCTTATCAGGTCAATCCACCTCATCCCAATCTATCGTATTCGACTCAAAGAAGTCTACTTAAACCATTTCACTAATTATTTTGAGTACCGGTAATAGACAACGCAGATACAGTTTATAAATAAAGTGCGTATACTATATGAAAGTTTTTGAAAAATCTGAATTGGCTATTTGTAACTTCCATAAAGACGTTTTTAAACAACTCAACAGAAATGCCTAGGTTCAAAGTGACCAAATCAAATGTGAGTGCAGAGAAACAAGATGAATACTTCAGATTGTGAGCCAGTAGTCCATTCATCATCACTGACACACAATGATGAGAGTCGAAATTTCAGATGCGATGTCATTCTTCTAAAGCTAACCAGTATGGTTTATTGGTGGATATTAGACGCAAAGACATTTCGGATCACTTCCATCTGACCGATCCTAAAGGATAATATCTTATTTCTATATGTACAATCAGTGTATCACATACACTAGAAAATACTTATTCTTTTCCAGCCTTAGAATGAAATGCATTGGTTTAGTTGTGAACCACATGCGTGGTTTGCATCCATTCTACCTCTGTATCATCAACGAACCTGTAAAAGTATAGAAAACGGTATTTAGATTGAAGTTAATCCTTCTGGAAAATCACAGTTAAGAGGGTTATGTGAGTTACCAGAACAGTTACAATCTCAGCTGTATATCTACATACATAAATATATATACATTATAACTAAAGGTTTTTGCATTTCCTAATGAATGAAAAACAAGCGATATTGTTTTTACTGATGTTTTGTTTTTTATTCATCGGAAAATACAGAAGCCTTTATTATAATGAATATCATATACCCAATGCCCTAATTTTTTCAAACCATTAAAAGTGAAAATGGTTTGGATATATATAATACATAAATATAATCTGTACTCACCTGACGTATGGAACAACTGGTATTTGATCATAAGAAATTACGATGAAAACCCTGAAACCAAAAGGGACAGATAAATATCTTGCAAATACTCACTTTATACTCCTAATAATTACCTTTAGATAGTAAGAAGTATATTACCTTCAACGTGTTATTTGAAAATGTTTTGTGATTTCGCGGTGTGATGCCTTTCGATTGGAAATAAATGTCATCGACTTACGTCGACATCTTTAATCACTCAGTAAGCAGTTCATATAACATGAAATCACCTTGCACATTACACAATGATGCTTTCAACATGTATCTTCACTATGTACTACCTTTCCTCATTATCCAACTATTCCTGTGGAAATTCTTCATCGGTATGGAATATTTATATGTTAGAAAGTAAGTTCACTTATGTGTTGATTTATTGTTTGCACTAATTTCATTATTTCTACTTTGATTTATCGCATTTCAGCTTATGATATGCAAATATTTATCAGTAGAATAAAAGATGATTCAACTTAATTTAGTTTGGCATTCAAACTACTCATATACAGAAACCATTCGTTGAATTGATTCATGCTACTTCTTTTTCCCTTTGTGATGTCGGTGACTTACATTTGGATACTGTTACGGAAAATAAAGCATACTGATTTGACAGAAATTAACCAAGAGTATCTGTTTACGAAAAGTAAAGAAGTCGACACCAATTTATGAATACACAAGGGAAAAAAGAACCAAGAAATCGAACTAAAAATCAATTTGTACTCACATTATTACGCACAAAACTGAAGCATGAATGACAGCGAAAAGTGGTATGCGAGATGGATAAAACTTAGGCCACTCCATCGAGAAAAGCTGTTGTATAATAAACTACTGGATATTTCTACAGCTGATAAAGCAAAAGAAGAGAAACAAACACACACATATTTATTAATGTTACTAAACATTGTTAGTGTTATAACGGCTTATTAGTATGTTATCAGATTTTAGAAATCTAATTCAATACGGACGCCGGATATATACTATCCTCATGGGACGAAAATTATTGCAGCAGGGTAAAAAGAGCTTCTGTCTTTCAGAAATGCTGCGGAAATTTCTCATCTCAGCTTTTGTGGTGAATTTGCGCTTCAGAAGAGTCAGTTGGGACCTAGATTAGTCAAGCTGCTATTAAGAAATGTTTGGTGGCACACAAAACCTAGCACTTGAACAGCAATGTGGATAGACCAGTGTCTCACCTTCATCCAGTCATTACCAACAAACAGTAATTTGAAATGCAGGCTCTTATGTTACTTCTAATATCACTCGTACATTAATACTATGAAGCAAACACCTTACCTAAGGGAAGTGATCGGAAACTACAAGACTTCATTTCGGGTGACGTGAATGATTCCACAAACACAAACAAGTAAATATCACGCACAATCAAACCTTTCATATGTACTACACACCACGTGTGGTCATCTCAGAAATCTTATCCAAAAATTTATTTAATAGAGATTGGAGGAACTAAGAACGCCCCTTCGATCCACTGTCAATGTTAAACGATAGTAGAAGGACTGCAGACGTTATAATTTTACTTGAGACATTTTAAATAACGTATTTCAAATGCTCAGTTGTATCAATGGAATTTCAGATAGTTCACATGAATAACAGTTCAGCTACTTATAGTAAACACTATTAGTAATGACAGTTTGAAATCAGTGAATAAGCAAAAAATTGATTAGTTCGTCTACAAAATGAATGAAACGAGGTCTGTTCCAACAGAACTAATTTGACGTTGATTTTGAATATCCTTCATAATGCGACTGCAGTTAATATTTTCCTGGTATTTCTAATAACCATTGACTGGTGGAGACATCATCTCGTTGATGTAACTCAGCTTCATTTTGAATGAATGAATTGAACAGCCCATAGTTATTCCTGGCCAACATATTCAGTTTATGTTGTCGTATACATCTTCCATCTTCTTTGGAATTTACACATTTTCACATAAGTGATACGTAAAGTAACGTTTATCAATAATTGAAGAAAAATGTCATGGGAAACTAATTATACGCTTGAAATAATTTAAAGATTTCGTGTATAAATTAGTTATACTGAGGAAGGGCATTCTGAATTGAGTTCGCTCAAATTTTTACTTGTTTAAGCAGTTTCCAATCAGTCTAATATACATATATATATGTACCCTAAAACGTTGCGTATTATTATGTTTGTCCACCGCATGGATGTTGTCTTCATGAAACCCTGTTATTTGGCTGTTCATATTTTGGAAATCAACAACTCTTCATGATATGGAGATCTATAATCAGTCTGTCGATTGGGACTATCCTTCTTTGGATCCAACCATTAATGTTAGGTTGCTTTTATTATTAACCAGTTGGCATGCTTCTGAATACATATTTTCTCTCTTGTCATGTGTTCTCTCTCTCTCGATCCGTGATCACCGTAGCCTTACAGGTCGCTCAATTTAATGTGAAGCAGGTGAATGAAGGAAAATATTAAAATGGAGACAGTTATGTTGAATACCTCCAACCCGGACACTTTCCATGAACAACACATGCGAATCATGCAGTTACGTATGTGCTTAGAAATTTCTAGTCTCGAATCATTCCAGGCTACTTCGGATGTAATAATTCCTTCAGTAGATAGAATGTTTAATAAATTCCACTGTGATCTTGATGCCAGTTTTAAGTCTGCGACTTGGTTGAGACGATATGAAAAGAATTTAAAAATAGATTTTGATGGTGAAGATGATTTCTGGAAAGTGTGTCACCTACCTCCAAAACCGGGTCCATCTGGAGTTGACCAATATTTTAATGTATTTCCGCCTTAAACCACACTAGATCACAGCTTTGACGCCACACTGCAGATATTCAGACAACACCCTTGTGATGACTTCCCGCTCTTTAACTCCTGATATCTCCGTTTTAAGCCAGAATAGAGAAGAATGAATTTCCCACGCATGTTCATATCATTTACCACACATCTGACAATTTGAGTTGAATTATTTGACAGACGATCAATTAACTTCAATGATACTCATTTGTAGTCTATCTTCCCTTATATTGGTAAAATCAGAATGACGTTCCTAAGTGATCACTGGAAAGACCCGACCATGACACTGAATAACATCCCTACTGAGCAACAAGGACTGACACACCTCCAGCACGATACACTTTAGTATAATCCGGAGGCTATATACGACAACCAACTACGATGGAAGATTCCTCCTATAAAAAGACAACACTCAGTGGTATCCTACTACATATACACTAGATGCATTAATAATTCAAGGCGAAAAATGCCTTGAAGGCTAATGGCAGCAAACAACCACCATCGTGACTTCGATCACCCAGGCGCAGGAAACAGAATATGGGCTTCCACATTGAGTGCATCACATTCCGGAAGAGGGAGTTGATATGGAGAGCTACATTCAAATCAATACATTACTACTACTACTACTACTATTGTGTAATAGTCGACATGGGTGTGAATACTTGTCCCCTTCCTATCGTCGTGTGTTCTCTCTCAATACATGATCACCTTGATCTGAAAAGTCATTCGATTTATTATCGAGCGCATAGCTAAAGAAAAGTGTAAAAGTTTACTATGAACAGAATTGGCGTTTATTTCTGTCACAATCTGATTTCGTTAAGTTAATAATATAACGTGAAAAGGAATGTATGACGAACATGGTACAGCATCGAAAATTTCAAGATTTTTGGTTGAAGCAGCTTTATGACTCACTCAATAGTACGAAGTAAACAACGTTTAGTACTGTTTAACAACATAAGCAACTACTACGTCTGGTCAGATTCTTAAATGAGAGAGATACAATTCTCAGATTTCAAACATCAGGATGTATATTAATCAAACCATCGAATCATACTAACGGACACGATTTTCAGTTATCAATATAATTCATGTATTTTCAGCTCACCTGGTCACTGACAGTCACAGTTCAATAGTCTAAATGATAAATATATTCCACGTTTGTTAGTGAACCGACCGTATACACTTAGTCTAGAACTACAACAAAAGCGTTCCTTTATACAACGGTGTAAAGATTTTAGGCCAATTATAAATAAATAAATAAATAATACTCAGTATTCAGCTGTATCACACAGAGCATACTAAGGCATTCATTGATCAATAATTTATTATCACAAATGAATCACAAAAGTTGACCAATAAAATCAGTATTCAACAGAAAATGCACAACTTAACCTACATCTGCATTTCTGCAGCGACATGCAATACGAAACATGTTTTGTGTGTAAAGTTAGCTAATGAATGCTTTCTTGTCTTTGGCTTTGTTAGTTACATTGAAATCTATGGCGAGAGAGTTGGAGAAGTTTTATGGGAATCAAGTAATCTTCAGAAACTTACTACTCACAGTAGTTAAGAAGGCACTGTTGACGACTTCAGAGGTGAATTGAAACAGTCGCCGCGTCAGTTTCTAAGCTTCTTCTGTGTGATATCACCAGATGACTGAGTTAACCGCATGATCAGTCAAGATGTCACAAACTGAACGAATGTTTGTTCTGTTGGAAAAGTTAAACCACCGACAAAATTTATTTGAACTCTTGCACTATAACTTCTTGCTTGCCTGCCTTTGAAATGAAAATCTGTTCAGTGTTTAAGACTTTCCTTCTTCTCTGATCAGATAAATGTTCACTTCTCTTATTCAATGTACGAAGATGGAAATGTGCATATTAGGCGTGTTTGCTTTATGGATCACACAGGGATTCACCATATTCGAATGTATAGCTGAATTTAACACTGGACAGAATGAGTTTGAGCTATCGCACTACTCAGTTGAACGCTTATTAAAAATGAACGAGGTGAAGTGGTATTAAATCACACTAACAATCGCAAAGTATTTGTGACTTTGAAAAATGAAAAACCTGAACTTGGTGTTCGAAAACATTTCATCAAGCCTCTTTCCCCACCATGGGTTAAGTATCTGTTATATTTTTTGACTGGTTGCACAGTAAACTCTGACATCCTTTTACCTTTCGATTTTACGTGGTCCACTTTCATCGATCAACTGACTTCAGACAGATGTTCTCCAAGATGAAAATCCCAGAAAGGCTGAAGGAGAGCAAGACTATTCCCATCAGTGAATTTATGAGGAAAATTCAATGAAAGCTTTTGAAAGGCATCTTTGATAGTCGCATCCTTTCAACACAATGAAACGGTATTATTTACTGGATAACGTTTCAAACTCAATTTATTGTTCATAATCATATCAGTTGTAATCACACGACTTTGAAACTTCAGTGTCATAGTTTTCTTTGTTCTCTCCTATTCGTCGTAAGGGTAGTAGAACTTTCCAGATATCTGGGATAGGTTGACTCGATAAACAAAGCTTCCATTATCAGTCTCTTTCTCCACTCTATCACTTTAGACTTCAAATAAGTTATCTTATCCTACCCTATTGTATGGTTGTATGTAATTGCATGTGCTGAGTGCTGCAGCTGGTCTGATATCCAGATTTTTTAGCTTGTTAGGATCAACTAATCTAGAATTCGCTAGGTTTTTATGCTCGGCTAGTCTGACTTCCTCCTTTCTACTGCTCTGACCTGTGTATTTGACCCAACAATCATTCCAGAAGGGTACTAAATAAACTAAATTGCTTCACCTAATAGGCTCCAGAGCATTGATACTTTAACTGACAAAGCTTGTTTCTAATTGAGTTTGTAGGTTTGAATGCTACTTTTATTCCGTCATTGTCAAGAATTCTGTGTGAGGTTTCCTGGGTTCCTTCATTGTATGGAAGTACTACTGATGATTCGAATTCCCTATAGCACGTATTGTCATTATCCTCTGCATATTTGACATACATGTCGTCATTAAAAATTGTATTGTTATCACTGTTCCCACCATATTTATTAATTTTATTTTCACATTTCCTACATAATTATTGATTAATTTATCAGTGTGATTATTAGGCTTCCCTCATATGCCTCATCTCCAATTTTAGATTCTGCAGCTGGAGCTAATTACCGCAAACGGAGCTTCTATCAAAGTAACTGATACCGTTACTCAACCCGTGGCACCACTTGAGGTCCACTTGTGTGGGTGCGTTGGGACGTCAAAACAAGCATTGATATCCTAACTGCACAATGCACTGTCATTGACCTAGGACGTCTGCGTATTTCGCCTGAGGGCAAATGAACACTTGGTGTGCTTATGCCTGCGTCCCACTTCTGATGATTATGGCAAACAATACTTCCAACCCCCGACTCACTTAAAAGGACCGTCCTTACACCCGGGCTCTGCTGCATGAGTTTAGCGAAGTTAGAAGATGGCCGCGTTACTGGCTAAATTGATGTTGTCCAACATGAGGTCAAGACAGGGAATAACCTGCCAACTAGGATGTGACCTCAACGGGTGCTCATTCATTGTGAACAACCAGTGGGCACGATGATTGCCGAAATGTCACTAAAGAAAGTAATGAAACTTCTAACTAGCCTTTGGCATCCCCCGTCTCCCTTATAAAAGGACAGATGGATGACTCTGTCTGTGAGTTGGTTAACGTTTCCCGAATGCTATCACACAACGTGAGTCATTTCCCTTCCCTCGTTTAGTCGCCAGCTGGACTCTCTGAATGGGGCCTAGTGGTTCTCCATTTAACATCTGGCTTCCAGTTATTGGCAGGTTGAGGTCTGTTCTGTAGACCGACCCAAGACTGCCTTTGTCGTGCCTACTGCATTATTTGAATTAAAAACCACGCCACTTGGCCTCTCGAATGTCCTCGCTGCGCTTCGACGGCTCATGGAGACAATAATCGCAGCTTTGTCCCTATACAGTACCTCACCTATCTGGATGACATCATAATGTTCGAGCAGTGACTCGAATACGAACATGCCAACATCAGAGCCTTGTTTCGACGTTTGAGCGATAGTAGCCTTGCACTGAAAGCCCTTACATGTCATATCTCGCAGGTGTCTGGGGCACTCCCCAGTCATGAGATTACTGCACAAAGAGTTAGCATAGATAAAATCAAGGTGGGAGTGACCCTGAACCGATTCACCTCTAAATTGACTGGAGATGTGTGCATTTCTATGGGGGTTGCTTCATAACACCGGGTTTTGTTCACAACCTTGTCAGTATAACAGTCTCTCTTCATCGATTAACGGAGAAGAGACAGAAGTTTGCCTGGACTAACGACTGTGAGGAGACATTCAGTACGGCGAAAACTTGTTTAGTCGGTTTCCCGGTCTTGACATATCCAGACATATCGCCTTGCACTGACGCTTCCGAACTGGATACTGATGACAGCGCTGAACTTTGTGCTTTGTTTTCTAAATTACTTTCATCATTATTTACTCAGGAGTGAATTTCGGTTTGCGCTGGATCACGAGGCGTCGCCATGGCTACAGAATTTGA